TTTGAAATACAAATTATGTGATGCGTACAACAGCTATTTCTCTACATCAGGTTGACTTCCAAGTGCATTCAATGTCTCAAAATCGTTCACTTTTGAAAACATAAAAAAGTTAGTTAATTTGTTATTTGCCTATGCATTATTATGTACGTATGTATATATGATGTCCCTTCCTATTTATCCCCCCTTATGATATGAAAGGCCAAATGCAAAAGAGGACTTAAGTGCCTACAATGGCAGCATTTAAACTGCCAAAGTAAGCCAAAAAAAAAAACAAAAACCCTACTCAGCTGCTGCCTTAGCCCAGTAACAGCTCAGCATCAGACCATGGAGCTCCCTGTTCTTTAAGGTTTCTCTCCCTGGACATACACAGAAGCATATCAGTTTAGACAGCGCAGAGCACCACGGTGCCTGCGTTACACCTAAGGCCAATTTGCAACCAGAAATTAGATACTGCTCTTACCAGAGTCTCCAGGGCAGCTCATTTTAATCCAGACTATGGGATCAGACTCCACAAAATTCAGTAGCCATGACACCTTCCTTTCAAAACAGTAACCAAAACATTCCTGTTTTTCTCATCTGCTGGTTATACCTTTTTCTCAGGTGGATGCTCAGTTACCAAGCTAGTGAATCTGTGTCGTCACCTTTCTGACCGAAAGAATATCAAACTATTTTGTGCACACTGGCACAGCCTTTATATTCTCTAGCGTGAGAGGGAAGACACTCTAAGCATGGAAGTTCTTCTCCGTGGCCCTTGCTTGGCCTTGCTTTAAAAGTTGTCTTTTTTATGGTGTTTTTTTACAGTCCCTCCCAGAGCCCATAAAGAGCCGAGCCTATAAAGAGCTGTAAAACTACTGGAGGTCTGGGTAATATTTGTACAGAAAAAAGTAGATATCATTCACAATGAACAGGTACTTGTAAAATTTACAGTGAGTTTGAATCAGCATGTAATATACAAGTTTTGTTAGCATCTCTGACAATTATTAAAACTTCTTTCGTAAGAACATAAAGCTTTCTGAACATACCGCATCAACACTTTCAATTATCAGCTATCAGTAGTGGCTGTACAAGCCTCAGCATATTTTGGTTGCTTGTCAAACCGAGGACGATGGGCAATGACATCTGCAGCCCAGGTACCTCACGTGTATTACAGATGCAGTTTATAGATTTGGACGCTGCTCTCTGACTGCCGCCTCATCCTGCATTACAAGCGCTGTGGAACTTCAGCATAACGAGAAGGCAGCAATTGAGCCTCCTTCACACGAAGCCTGGACTTGTATTTTAAAGCAAAGTCTGCCAACACAGCCTATGCAGGGTGTTTCTGTAATGAGGGCAGCGCTGGACGAGGAACACAGGGAAGACGTCTAGAATTATTCCACTTGCAGCCTTTTCCAGCCATCTGAATCTAATCAGAATCATTTTAAATCGATAATGATTTGTGCGAGAGTTTAAGACTACCCCAAACAAGGGAACCCCTGCTACAGCTGTATGCAATTCCTGTGTTTAATTTTATCAGACATAGGGCAGTCTATCAAAAAGGATAAAAGGTAAAAATTCTATTAAAATATTCCTCTTGGAGAAATAACATAAACTCTTTTTTTCCTGGCTTTTAATCCAGTTCTTGCACAGCTTCAATGTTTTCCCTCTCATTTGAAGTCAGAGTTTATATAATTCATTTTGCAAAACTATATTGTGACTATGGGCCAGATCTTCAGGCCAAGTAACTTGGTGCATGTTGGAAGCTTGCAACCAAGTGCTTTAAAAGCAATACTCGGGGGTTTATGACAAAGAAGAGACCGAATTAAGTCTTCTTTCAGAAACACAGTAGTTCCCTTCTGCTGGTTAGGTCCTTCTCTGACATTCAATTGAGCTATTCTTTAAATAATTCAGCTTAAAGTTAACCTGAAAAGTAGTTTGCAAGTTTGTACTTCTTCCTAAAAAAGAATATTGGAGTAACTATTGGACTCCTTCACATCTATTTTCTCTTTGGACTTGCTTTTCCCACGGACTAATTTTGAAAGTTCTGGATAAGTGAAATATGCAGAGCTGCAGTTTTGTCACCCCTTACTGAAATTATCGGAAGATTTAGAGCTAAATTGAAAAAAAAGGTTAAGTCTCCATAAATTAGGCACAGCTATGCCAAATCTTTAATCACTTGCTCCCCAGAATGGAATCCAAATACCAGAGTTCAATGTTTCAGAATAGTACTCCAAACCCTCACCTAAAAGACATGTGAAATCCCACCAATCTCAAGTTTAGTTATCTGTAACCATGCTAAGTCCAAAACATACGGCTAAAAATCAGAACTTAGAACTTCAAATTCTTCTTATTTCAAAGAACTGAGCGAAGATGACACATTTACTGATACAACCCATCTTCTGTATAATGCAATGACGAAGACAGGCAAAGACTAGCTTTGAGTGCCTCCTTAGGCATAAAGAAATTAAACGCATGTTTCCCAGTGAAGTGTGGTATCTGAAAGACTATTAAGTTTAGTGAAGAGCATTCCTTACTCGCTCTGTGTAAACTGGGTAACTGAGCACAAAAGAATGGAAAATTCATGTGGTTAATGAGTTGCTGGCTCTGCAGTCTAGCAGCCAGTTCTTCAGCAGAGAGTGCGAGGTCCTAAGTCTAGTTAAGCGAGGTTTAGGGTTTTTCAGGGTGAGATTTGGATTTAGGTATCTAAACATATTTTTGGATCCAGATCTTTCCTTTATAGTAAAATTAAACTCACATTAACAAGAACGCACTATTATTAAATAATTTTCAGAAGCCTGAATAGAAATCAATTTCCTCTATGGCTACTTATCTTTTTACTCCTTGAGGCACCTGATGTCATAGGACTACAAGTTCTCTATTCAAAATATACAAAATCTGAATTTAAATGTAAGTAACCTTTCATTGCTTTGTATATCATAAAGGAGTAAAATACAATGTGTTTAGTTTCTTAGTTAAGTATTGAAGCTGACAGCTGAAAGAACTATTCATATCACACTGAGCCTCATTTTGTGGTCTGTGGCATTGCTTTGTGCAGACACAAGTCAGTTTATTTGTGAATTTCTGGTATGATATAGATGTCAAATTGCCTTATCAACAAGAAATTCCATTTACCAATATAAAATGTCCCTCTTCAATGTTCACTAATTCTTGGAAATACATCCATTTCAAAGACTAAAGAGAGTTACGTAGAACTAAGTCCCCAGATCAGAACACATTGTTGCTCAGAGACTGCTTTAAATTTTGTATCAGAATATATTTAATCTGTAAGTCTTTTTAAAGAAAAAAATGCCATTAAAATATACAATGGTGATGGATGCATCATATTTTTATCACATGTGTATGAGACTCCCAACTTAAACAGGATTAGTGAGTCTGGCCTGATGCACAGCCTCCTAGAAGATGTACCCGAACCCCTTCCTTGGATGAAAGACTTCAAGTTTGGTTTCTTCCATCACAAATAGTGCTACAGTGCACAATGGACATCATACACTGATGTTTTGAAAGTAGGAAATTACTTTTGCTCCATTATTTGCTTATTTTTAAAGAAAAAGGACATAAGTACTTCCCTCAGGAGATAGGAGGAGACGTTTCTATACAGCTCAGATTTATTAATCTGAATCTCAAAGACTGAAAGAATTTTTGACATATTCATAGTATTTCTTAATGGTATTTCAGGTAGTGCTCTGCTGACAGTACAGGTCATTACGCATCCCATCTGGGAAGCCTTGTTTCTCCTCTCATACAGGAAGCTAAACTCAGGTGCTTAAAAATTAAGGGTTGCATTACTCAACCTTGCAAAGGCTGCCCCTGTAAAGATTTTGTTCTACTTCCATTACGGCTCAAAACTCTTTTAGAAAATAGAGACAACAGCATAAAAGTATTCACACTTAGGAATTTATCAGGCAAACAGATACAAAAGTCTTGGCTAACAGAGGCAGGATAGGACTTGAAATGTTTATGAAGTTCCAGAAAGAGAACATTTATTTTAGATTTTATTCTATTTTAAATGGGGAATATATACCAGAAAATAGGCATTTTTACCTATTTAACTTCTCCATCTCTATACAGAAACCATTTCAAAACAAGGTACCAAGCACTGAAGGTATAAAGCGCACGCAACCCAATAACAGTCTAAAAGCTAAGGGCTTAAAACTAAAGAAACAACACCTTGTTAAATCATTAGTGGTGCCAGCTGAACCACTGTAACTAGCAAAAAGCTCTGAAGGTTTCCTAGTTGTCATCTATTAAGTCAATAATATCTGCAGAGCATAACATTTTCAAAGGATAGTGGTCTCCAGGTGAACCAAGACATTTGTTTTCATAGGAGACTTTTTTTTTTTCTGAAAGAATTATTTGCCTTAACTTTTATTATATGGAATTAGTATTACTATGGATAGGTAATACACACTGGCATCTGTTTGCTTCTTGAGCATTTTACTAAATTGTCTAATGAAGTAACTAATACTATCAATGATACCTGAAGAACATACAACATATGAACATATTTAAAATACTAGATAACTCATTCCCTGCTGCCTTACACCTTATATAGGTATTTAAACCTAAGGAAAGTAAGTGCAAAGCATACAGAAAACACTGCCAACATTTTCTGCTCACATTGGAACGTTTTTCATTGTTTTTTTAATTATATGGCACAAGGTACAACAGAGATTTGGACCTGAATTTTCAATATTTCAGTGAGACTTTATGAGATGATGGTGGCCATTAAAGAGACAGTTTTCAAGGCTTTTGAGTTTGCCTTTGTACTGTTAGCCAATATTTCCTTCAAGCTTGCTGTTTCATCTTTTTCACACCATATCATTCTGTCACAAACAAGGACATATAAGATCAGTGACTTGGATAAGGCTGGAATCAAAAAAGACAGTCAACGCAAACCAAGATCTGGAAACAGGGCTGTCAAGTGGTAAGTACTCTACTTTTTTTAAGAGGCAATGCAGGTGTATGGTCCGTTCCTTGGGCACAAGATCAAGAAGTTTACGTACCAACATTAGGGTCTGGAACAAGGGTCAGCTAAGACGAAGATTCAAAGACTCCTGGGATACCTGCAACTAAGATATAAGTTGATCAAGGTAAGTGCAACACTTCTTACACCTCTGCGTTCACAGCAAACCTCCTGTCCACTTGATATCCCTGTCCAATGAGGCTCATATAGAAACTTTAGTTAGAGAAGCTTATTTAGTCCTCAGCTGCGAAGGATACAGTTCACAGCTTGCCACTGGGCTGACAGCTCGTATAAAACCTGGGAAAGAGATTTTAATCTACAGGACAGCCAGAGATCATTGCACAACTTTGCTATAGCCACTTAACCCCTCAGTGTTCACACAGAACGGAGCCGGGGGAGTGAGATAGCACTCACAGCTGTCTGTTTATGTGGCTGCCCAGAAGAACTTGAGGAAAAGCAGCCAAAAGAACAAGTACTTCGTGCTGAAGTTTCTCAAACTGTAGTGGACATCTCTTGTTGCATACGCCAAATGTTTTGGGACTTGGGGTTTTTTTTAGAGCATTAAAGATATCCAAGTTCCCCTTGCGCTCGGCAGGCTGAGCACTCCAAGGAGACAGACCTAGGGTGTTATTTGAGGCCTGGCTGCTCAGCCAAGAATATCCACACCACCATGGTCTTCTCACTTAGCTGTGTGTTAAGGGCATAACTAAACCTATAGGCACCGATTAAATTATCCAGGCACTATGTCTGAACTACGGAAGCAATGGAGTTTTTATGGTTCATAATCTTTTCGCTCTTATTCTAGCCACTAGCAAAGTTCTTGTCCAGGAGGTTTCTGTTTTCTTCTATATTGCTTCAAATAGTCTGCTCTCATGTTCACAGATGAAGAGGCTGTCCCACAACATTCCCCAAGACAAGGGTCTTCCTCCCATCCTCCCATCAGGCAGTAAAGAGGAAAAATCTCACGCCTTTTTTTTTTTTTTTTTTTTTTTTCCTAAGAACTTACAGAGAGGTCCTCCACACAACGGGCCAGGTAAAAGGCTGGCTGAGTGCTTGTTTTAGTTGGAGATAGGACTTCTGATGGAAGAAATACATTTTCTTCACACTCTTAGAACTGATGCAAGGAAGTTGGAGCACAGAGTTTTTTCTATGATAGGAATCAGCCTTTAATGATGCCTGGAGTAGCGGTGCTCAGGAGAGTCTAGTAGCTTGCGCGCATTACAACAGTGTACAATGTTACACATGCAACTGGTTTGAAAACTGCCTTCACGTGGATAGCACAGTATGGACAAAAGAACCTTCCACAGACCTGTGGTCCTGCAATCCCAAAGTAAGTTTTACTGGAAGAGAGAATGACGTATTCCAATGATTTTAACGTTACAGCTCTTGTCTACTTCAAGGCACTTACTGCATCAATGCAGCCAAAGCAATGCAAATTCCCATGCAGAGCATGGTTCTGCCAATGAGATTTCTTGCTAGGGATAAATCACTGCAAAGTTTGTCATGCGTCCTCTCTAAGGCAGAGATTTCCTTTTTTCAGACTGGGAGTAGTGATTAACTGTTGATCTGGATAAATGTTGTAATACTGAGTTAAATTCTGCATCATCTTACAGTTATAAAATATTTTTTTGCATCTTTGATAAAAGGATAGTTTCTGTATGAAATTGTTCTTGGATTGACCTGAAGATACTTGATTTGAAAAAGTTCAAAGGGATCTGCTTTGCTTTTTACCTTTCTACTGAAGTAGAGGATACCTAATTAGGTTCTTCTCCCCTAAATTTAATAGCAAGTTTGCCCTAGTATCAGTGGGAGATTGGGCCAGAAGTGCTGTTTTGATTGGATATATTTTATTCCTTTTTTTTTTTTCTACTTAGTAAACAAGAAAAAAAAGCCAGACATCTTACAACCTTATTGGTCCACACCAATTTTATCTAGCAAAATGGATAATAAAACAAGAGGGTTTCCATTGCTGCAACTTACAATGGGCTGACATTTGGCAGCGAACAACCTTTCTAAAGTTCAGGCACTGCATTAAAAAGAAGAATATAAAGGGCATCATTAGAATTGAGGAAGGAAACTGTTATTCAGCATTTCAATTACTGAGCTACATGAGTGGCAGTAAGAAATAATAGGCACAAATTAGTACTATTGAATGTTCCTAAATATCTATTCAGCAGCCTTGAAAAGTGATTTGGATACTGTCATAAATTTGGAAATGTTCAAATAAACTCACTTATCTGTCTCTACTTTCTCAAATCTCAGTTTCCAAAGAATTTTCTCAATGCAAAATTATGGACCTTGAATGTTCTCCTTATTAGTCTGATTGAAGCCCTATTAGCATTTTTCTCCACCTTTTCCCCTGCTGTAGGCACACATTATTTATTTAAAGCATACTCACAACTTACAGTCCAACAAAATAAACGGCAAGGCACCTCCCATAACATTTGATATTTTTAATTTGCCCACAGAGACCATGGGTACTGAATGCTGTATACACTGTAATAAATCACTTCAGTGCTATTAATGCATACAGTAGCCTTACAGTGCACAGAAAATGATTGCCATGTGTACCCTCTACAAGAAAGGCAAAGTCCATGTGTTACAAATATGGTGAGCATTAAAGATGATGATGAACTTGAATTTTTATCTAAATATTACAAATCCATATCATTTGTCCTCCTTTATTAATTACGAATGATTTCTCAAACAAAATAATATTTTCCTCTTCATTTTAAGTGTTAACTGAGAGAAAATTTGGGGATGTTGTCATCATGAAAATGTGTTTATCACTGACTACACTGTTGGGAGAAACACAAAGCTTTTTTCTTTCAGTTCAGGCTGTTTCTGTTGTTTCATATAGCCTAAGTCTTGCTTAAAATAAAGCAAAACAAACAAAACAAAAAGCCCCAACAAACCAGAGTGCACCTTTGAGGCCAAGCTGCGTTTATCACACTAACAGAGATATTGCTCCATGGATTTCAACAGTATTCAGCTGTCACATTTACTCACATGAACTGATAAATTTGTAATGGCTGAGAGACAGAAATTGATTTATGAGTTTGTTGGAATAGAATGGAACCACTGAAAATGGCCTTATTAAAAATCTGCAATTTTTCACAAGGACTTGCTTGCCTTAATAAATGTGAGAATAAGTTTGATTTCACTCAGAATTAATGTAGTTTGAAATTGAAATGAGTCTCACTTCCTGCCTCCAGGAGGTCTGCTGACATTTCTAGTGCTACATCTAAGCCTATGGAAAAAAATGAAGCTGAAAATGGAAAATAAGATAAATTTTCCATAATTTGCACAATGAATACATTTGATGAGGTCAAAATCAATTAAATTTAGAAAATGTCAATTTGGTACAGGACCAAGTTATTTGTTTTCCCTCATCAATAGCCACTAGCTTTACTGCAGCTGAAGAAATCTGAATATCATATTGACTAAGAGGTAGGTTTCTTTAAACGTATACTAATTTTGACAAACTTCCCCTTTCCTTTACCATCATTTGCCCACACTGAAACTAGATCTATTTGTGTGATATGAGGATATTATACTGAATACACATTTCAGATGATAATATCATGGAGAATTTTTTTCCGCTCTCAAGAGACCAAGAGAAATGTGTCCACCTACAGTACTGCAGGCTTCTACCTGGAAAATACATCTGGCTAATCTTGCAAAACTACCAGTATTAGGAGATGCTCGTACACCGTGTTAGAACGGTATACACCTCTAGCCAAGAATGTTTTCTGAGGAAGGAAATAGAGTGAAAACTTCATTCTTTATTCATAACACCATGCTTTTGCTAAAAGGAAGGGAAAAAAAAGGCTTTTTTTCTTATTTTTATATAAACCAGCCTTAATTGTCCGAATCTTGCTATAGCAACTTTTATTTTTAAGCCTTATGCAGTAGAAGAAAAATCTCTCCTTATGCTACATGCAACTTACTGTGACACCCATCTTGGCTTTGAGGAAGAGCCAGGAAATCCTTTCTCTTATTCACTGCTAAGTTGGTTGGAACAGTCAGGATTGAAATAGCAGGGGCTTGGTCATGTCAAGCATCTTTGTGCGTTCTGTTTCACTTCTCTGTCCAATCTTTCTCTTAACTACCGCGTGCAAGAGCTGTATGGAAAAATAAAGTGCCAAAATTAACATTGACAACAACAACATCAAAAATACAAGGGAGAGCCAGAGAAGAAAGTTGGTTTGGTTTATGAGATTAAACTCATATTATTAAACATACTAGGAAATACAAAAACAAAGCTACAATATGATAATTTTGAAAATAAATGTTATAATGTATCTTCAAAAATAGCCTCCTATAAATATTGGATATGAACCTCTGTTCACATTGCAGCACAGTGGACCTTGAAGCAAAGCAGTACAGTTCTGCTTCCAGCACACTGTAAGTACCCAAAAGGTAGTTAAAACAAAAAGTTTGACCCCCATAGTTAGGGTACGCATTCTAAACTTATTTTCTTTAGCAGATGCTGTGCTGACATTTCAACTGACTTGTCACATCCACACACCACGTAATCCTTCCCCAAGGTAAGCACAGGAAACAAAAAAGCAGACATAGCACCAGTGAAAGGTATGAAATATACACAAAACAATCACCTTGCCATGTGAATCAAATCTTAAGGTAGAGCAACAAAAGAAACAGGTAGTCCATGACAAGCCAGAGGGGTATAACGTCAGTTCATACTGGCATGGGGCACAAGATGTGCTCTGGCCCAGGGTAGTAATGTGAGAACTGCAAGGAAGCAACGCAGGACAGTGCGTGGTTGCGAAGAAGGGAAACTGTATCCACTTACGGATGAACTCAGTGGAATAAAGCTTCGTTCTTTAGGAGAAAACACTTTTAAACAAATAAGTTTGGTAGTTTTCAGTCTCTATCTATTGTAAAGGTTGTTCTGTGACTGCAGAATTTACTAAGTTGGACACTCCAATTTCATTCATTAACCGTTTCTGGGTTAATGCAGACAAACCTTAAAAACATGAAATAAAACATTAAACATTAGATAGCTATAAATTTCAGTGCCTAAGCCAAAGCTAATTGTTAGCTGAAGATTCCTATTTACTTCAGTGCCTCTTATGGTAGGCCTTTAGCTGCTGTGCCAAGACCCTGTATGAAACCTTGAAATCCTGAATGACTGTTCAAGGTAAATCCCTATTCAAAATTGACTTCTGGATGGCAACTGCCATCTGGGAGGAAAAGCTTTTCGAGGCAGAGGGATATTGTCTTGGTTCACAAAAAGCAATCATCACAGCTGAAAAGTCCTCCACCGACAGAGGTATCTTCTGTCTCTATACCCTAAAGACATCCAGTAGAGTTTCTCAGCAGATTCATTTCAGCTTGAGAGCTGAATTCAATGCATATAAGCATACACAGGACAAACATAGAATCACTAAAATCTCAAAAGGATTGGCCGGAGTAACATGCAGATTAGGCAATGGGACTGCAATCCATTCCCTTCTCCGTGCTAGAAGCTGTTTTAAATATGAGGCGGATTGCAAAGCTGCAGTCGTCTTTGTCATATTTAGTAAAAAAGATTCACATGCTAAAATAGGCTCTCCCTCTCTTCATTTCTTTATTTCGTATGAAGGCTTTTTGAGATTGCTTCTTTTAGGGAGAGGAGGCATTGTTGTTTTTGTTTTTTTGCAAGTAACATTTATTTTGAAGTTCTACTCTCCAAAACATCCATTATGATTGATTAAATAATACATAGAACGTGATTCTGCTACTAAAAATTACAATGTGTTCCTTGACATTCATGCTAAAACCTCTCTCACGGGGGGTACTTATTTGTCTGGCATCTTTGCTCAGGGCAGAAACACTAGACTGCAGAAGACTTCCCAGGTCATCAGTTCAAGTCCTTTGATCTGACAGGCGATCACATTCTATATTTCAGCACAATTAGCACCTTTTAAAAGAAGTTATATTTCTAGCCCTCGCTACTTTTACCAAAAGATCACTTCAGAATCTCATTCCTCTGACAGTTACAAAAGTCCCAGTTTAAATTTATTCACAGTTTATTATCCCTCCCACCATATTCATGAACATCTGTTATATCCCTTATTAGCCTTTGTTTTGCTACCCTAAACAAGCCACACCGTTTTACTTTCCACACCTATAGCAGGCTCTCTTTCCCCTCATCAATCAAGACTGAATTCAGCTTTCTTCAATACTGTATCTCAAATCAGGTCTCACCAGTACTTTGTAGAATGGCTTTAATACTTCCATGCCCTTGCTAGAAATATGTTATCTGAGACAGCTTAGGACTGCATTTGCCATTTTCATATCAGTGTTTCAATCACGCTGCATTTGATTAATGTAGCTGTGCTTTCTTCTCTGACATTCTTAACGGATGAGCTTCCAGCTTCTGGAAGAAATTCTTATTAGTCACAAAAAATAGAACTTTGCATTTGGTACTACTTAATTTCATCTCATTTCTATTTCTGTTGTCCACAGACTCCTTCAGGTCTTCCTATAGCATCCCAGTCCTCCACAGAATTCATGCCCGAAATCTTAAAGGTTCACTAGGACATCGCCATTTAATATTTGTGAAAATAGTAAATAAAACTAGTCCCAAGGCCAGCTTCATTAATAACACAAAGAACTCTAGCCCAAAACTGCTTTTTATCACACACCAGCTTCCCATTAACCAGATACTTACTGAACAGTTCTTCTTTCACTGTATTTATTAATATTTTTCCTGTGTGGTCTCATAGCAAATGATTTCCCAACAGACAGATTAGATTCACTTCACTTTCTTCATCTAAAACACCAGTGACATGATGAACAAGTCTCACAACTTACCTATGAAAAACCCGAAACGTGCATTGTCTTATTTTTAATTTATCTATAATTAGACATTGTATTAACATTTGTACTGAAGCTTTACTTACTGCTAAGGTCAGATTAATGAGCCTGTAGTGGCCTGCAAAACAATAAAAGGATACAAGAGTTTTTTTGCTTTCGTTAGAAGTCAAAGAGACAACTTTTTCACTAACTTGAGACGAGTCAGGCCTGGATCCTAAATTGTCTCATTTTTTGAATGAGGGTCTTCAGTTTGGCTTTCACTTTTCTTCATCTCAATCCTTCTGAAGACCATTTCAACATTTGATATGAGAGCTTAAACACCAATAGAGTTCAAGGCCAGATATCAGACAGATGAACTTTCCCCTATTACGTGATTGCTAATAAGGTATTCTGACATAACAAACTGCTTTTTCCAAGCATGTTACATCTTGGCTAACAATTATCAGGAGCTAATGATATAACACTGACACTATAGATACCGTGGAAATGCATAGAGAACCAAAATATTTAATAAAATTTTCACACAGTTTCAAGAAAACTTATCTTAGTTTCTTTAGCTAATAAATACTATTTTAGAAGTTAAATCACTATTGACATAATGGTTCTACAGTAAAAGTGGATTTTTTTCTTAAGTTTAAAACTAGAATGGAATAGGTCGGAGTTTCTTTTTTTTTTGTATTTGATTTTTTCGTCAATTTAGATCTCACAGAGGCATCATACTCATGTCTGAATTCAGGGGGATTTTAGGCATTTGGAGACGAGATGAAGAGCAATGCTTTGTTTAAAAGTTGAAACTGGATCCAAACAAACATATTCTACTTTTTTCCTCTTTATAATTAAAAAAGAGAAAAGCACAGCTTAAAGCTAAGGTAATAATGACAGCCTATTGTGTCGTTTTCAGCCTCTTGTAGCACGTGGAGGGTACGTTTGCTTTTTTGTTTTGGCAGGGAGTGGGAGGCATGGTTTTGTTTCATTTTTTCACTCCTCCATTCTGGACTTCACACGCTGTCGCAGAATAAATGCCATTCAACCAAGTGACGAACTGTGCTGGGAATCAAGATGAGCAACGTGCCCCAAGTTATGAACATTGTTTCAACATACATCTCTGGGCAAGACAATTGTCATTTTGCAGAGAGAATTGAGGTGTCTTTTAGAATTACATCAAAGCTACTCCCTTTCCTAGCTGCCAAACAATTTTTTTTTTGTTATGTGTACAGTATAATGCAAACTTGATTTTCTTCTTAAAGTCTTTTTAATGTTGAATCAGGCGATATGATGAATTAATCTTTTCTAAAAAAAAGCTAGGAAGACATGCAGCTTCAAAAAACAAGATGTCTAACTGTATCTAATTACATTGCCTTCATAATCCTGCGCAAACTTCCCTTGCACTGCAATGTGTGGATTTGGCTAAGATTAAATTAATGCCTGTTTACACATATCACGTAATTCTATCTCCTTTCCCTCAGGGAGAGCATGGAGAGTTTCAGAAGCATGAGTAAGCATGCTAATTTTGACAGCAATGAGGCAGATCTGGTTAATAAATGCTCTGTGTAACAATAATACTGAGAGAAAGGGCTTCAAGTACCTCTCAGAGATCACCTCTTCCTCTCAGCCAGACAAGCAGTTCAGCCGAGTGTTGTCGCTTCAGACTCTCTTCTGGGATTTAAATCAATCTACATAGCCATCTATTTCACTCTATATGTACACAAGGGAAAGCAAGCCCAAGCACTCTATCTGCAATATCTTTTCCACTAACTCCAGTGAACTCTCTGCCGCCCCCTTTTAAGCTGTTGCTGCTGCTAACAGATGGCCACATCTGGGAGCACAATAAGCCCAAACACACGTTCCCTCCCACTTGCCTTGCCAAATATCTGCTAGGCTTTAAGAGAAAAGTGGCAGCACTGCTGCACATTTTATTCCTACCAACTTGGTTTATTCACCTGAACTCCAATTATTTAAATCCTTAAATCTACGTCCCTATAAAAGTAACATTCTCAGAGTATTCAGAATTGGGGGTTCAGATCCATAACGATAAGGGTAAAATACTGAAGGGATATTCTAATTATTTCCCAAAATATTACATGCCCAGGAAGTTATAAAGATACCATTTAAAAGTAAAAGAAATATAAACACATGAAGTTATGGAAACTTGTAGATAAAGGAAAACCTTAATTCTGTCCTACAGCAATGCCACGGAGTAACGAGACCACTGTCATTAGTGCCTAATAGTATTTGTGTTCTCAGACTAAATTAATCTGGACTTTAATACCAAATTAGAATGTT